AGACTGGAAATCCAAAATATGTTGCGGTTGCAAGTATTGGTGGAAAAAATACTATCTTATAACTTATATGTAGGCATTTAGTTCTCAACTCTTTTGCTTTATAATGCATTGGATTTTCAATGTGGCATCCCAACAGGAGCTGTCTGACGGTACCCCAGTGATAGTCACAGACACTAGGACAGCCGCTGTGCGATAAGGAGCATAGATCAGAGTGTCTTCAAATGTGGATCTGCCTCGTTGCAAGAGGAGACATGATGAGCAAGGGAAAAAAAGAGTAGGACGTTTCATACTGTATCATTTAGGAGCAATTAAAAATGCTTTGGTGTGTCCTTGAAGTGCGTTTGTGTGTGACACCAGGATTTGCGTGTCATGGGTGAGTGAAGAAATAACACAGAAAAACACAAATGTGGAAACAGGAAACAAAATCCCCCAGCCCAACATGAAAGGTTGGGATTTTGAAATGAAATTCCCAGATTTTCCAGCATTGGGTTCCTGAGAGGAGAACGTGCATTTCGATCTCTCCGGGGGATGCATTTGCAAGCAGCTCGGCTTTTGAGAACGCTGCTTGTAATAAAATATTTCGTATTAAAAGAATGTTGATGAAAGACTTCTGACCCATCTAAAAAGCTTTAGAGCTGTTTTCCTCTTCTCTCCATTTCTGCTGACTCCAGTCACTGGTGCTGTCAACACTATTTAGGAATACCATTTTTCAGTGTTCAGCTTTGTTTCCTGATAAAGAAATAATGGCAGAAAAAAACAAATACCCTGCTGACATGTTGAAGGCAGCCAGTGACTGCTGTGAGCGAGGTGACATTTGCAGACACCTGGGGTTTAGGTGTCTGCATTCTCTCGTTAGCAGTTTTTAATCAACATATGGCATGTCTGCATGGCAAAATGCAAGGAGTGATCAAGCCAGCAGTGCTCTGGGCTAATATGGCTATTAATGTGGGGTTTTTTTTTTTTTCTGCTACCCAAGTAACTCCTGTAGACATTTGGATCTGGCTGTGTTGGTGCTGTTCCAGAGGTGCAGTGAAAGGAGATCTCAAAAGCCCATCCCTGCTGTCACAGGTTGTGCTCAGCTGTCGAGCCACCTCCATCCGGCTGCATCGTGGAGAGGGGGTGACTCACGTCCCTGCTCCGTGCCAGCCGATGCCGGAGGAACGTTAGCCAGCGTTGACCCGACCGTGAGTCACTGCACCGCTGCCATTGCCTGCAACTTTCCATTTCTTGGACCTGCTATTTTTGGGTCCGGTAATTATGAGGTGAGCTGTGAATCACCGGTGTCTCGCTTTACGCTGGGAGGAAACCAGGCAAATTGCGTTAACGTGCTTGGCAGGAGGGATTCTTGTTCTCCAGCGTTTTACAGGCTTTGGCCCTTCTTCTTGCTCCCCGGAGCGATGTGCTCACCCTTCCTCATGTCTAGCTGTCACGCAGGATCTGAGCAATGGCCAGACGGCCTTGGGCTCGTGCTCCCTCCGGTCGGGTATCGTCTTCTGGGCAGGAACTGATGCTTCAAAGGCCTGGGGGGAATTCCCAAGGGGTCCCAAAGGCTTGTATTGATTTGTTCATCTGGTCCATGTAGGCAGGGTTTAGATTAGAAAATGGCTTCAAACGGGTAACTCGGAAGGAGGCCAGACGCCCATGTTGACATTGGCCTCTACGGCAGCTGGTCTTGCAAATGTTTCTGCCATTCAGAGGGACAACCGTGGCCCGAGGCTTGTTCTCTGCTGTTTGCTGTGTTGTGTGGTGCACGGCAGCACAACTACGTCGAAGCTCGCCAGTAGAGCCGGGGGGAAATTGCTGACCATTTTTGTAAAGGCTTTGATGATGTGTCAAGAGAGGAATGTGCAGGACTTTTCTGCTTCTTTATAAGGGACGGACCCTGTGACAGCGCTAAACCCCCCAGCAGGTAGAAGTGCATGCGTGGTGTTCTGCACAAGCAGCAGTTAAATCCCATCCCTCTGCTTTACCTCTTCGGTTCCCACCACCTGAGCAGGATAGATTCACCTGTAGCCTTGTTTTAATGCCCTGGGATTCCTACGCACGTTTGTTTTTCTTGCACGTTCCTGCCTCTGCCAGTCCCTTCCCAGCTCAGCTTTACGATTCAACATGCCTGTTAAAACATGGTCTCCAAACCCTTCCTCTCAAATACAAGAAAACCGAGGGTGTTTTTGCACCCAGGAATCCCCAGGCTGGAAAGGAGTCTGCTGGGGATTGTCGGGCTGTTGGAGAAGGATCTGGGGACAGAGGAGCTGTAAACCTGCAGGAATTTGGAAAACCTATTTTAATTTAAGAGGAATGTCCTTTTGTTCCCAAATGGATGGGCCTCGCTCCAAAGGTGTTCAGGTGCAGTAAGTGTTACCAGATGGGCTGTGAAAAGCAACACAAACAGGTGGTCAGGACAACAACTGTAGACTTTAATTTCCTTGTCAGCTTCTCCATGTGCCTTACATACCCCCCTTGAGAACAGGAGGATGAGAGGAGCTGTCATATTTGTATACGGCAAAAGGAATGACTGTCGAGGGGATATTCTGTAACTATATAGCAGGTCAAGCCCTTGGACTCTCAGTGGTGAGACTGTCATCTGGGCCAAGGTGCGCAGTGATTAACTTAAAATATAATTCACTAGCACATGCATTTTTATAGATACAATGATCAATACATTTTAATGCATGCTGACATGTATATTGGCTCAGATCCTCCCAGGTGTAACTACTGTTCTTCCACGTAAGACAGCGGGACCACGCTGACATTGCCCACCTGGGGCTCTGCCCATGTGCTTGGGAGGCTGGGGCTGTGGGAGCATGAGAAGCCTTGATGGTTTGGTGGGACCCCACGCATACTGGAGCACTTGAAGAGGGACAAATGCAAGGCGACGGCATACCAGTCCTGCAGCGTGAACGGGGCAGTTTCATGGAGGCAGCAGTGGCCTCCCGCTCCTGCAGGCTGGTGCCTTGCTCTCCACTTCCTTCGGTGTGGCTTCCCACAGTAACCAAAGCGTTGCTGTGCTGTGACTGGTGTGATGAGTGAACATACTTCAGTACAGGTAGGGCAGAAGCAAAACTAGTGTCATAGCCTCCAGCTTGTCCTAACAAAGAGCATTCAAACCCCTGGAGCTGTTGCTCACTGCTTGCCAGTACCTGTGAGCGCCCATGCGTTGATAGCTCCATCGCTTCTGCTACGTTGGCGTGTGCAACAGCATTGGAAAAAGGAGAGGTGGTGAAAAGCAGATATTTCCTAAGAAAAGTAATACCTCAGCACTGTGACCGTAGGCACAGGCATTAGCGGTAACTGTGACTCCAGATGTATGGATGTACTGATTTATTGCTGGAGTACAAGACAATAGGTGCTCTTATGGGACACATAGTTTTTGCTCACCACCTTGCTGGCCTGGGCAAGGCAAAGGGGGTGCTGGAGAGTGCACAACTGTTCTTCAGGCAACAGTATCCAACATGCTTATGCTCAGTCTCTCTCTTACTGGGTTTTTGCTTCCCAAATGCAATGCTATCCATGTCTGTCTGACTGCATTTCCATCTCCTTGGCTTGCAAGCATACAAGTGAAACTGTCTTTTGTGCTTGTCTCTTGTTCAGGCCTGTATCAGTCACACTTCATTTCCACTGTCTGACACCTCTTCGTTCACAGCTCCCCATCTCTGCCCAAATTGACACCTCTTGGTCTGGATGCAGGGAAGATAAGAGAATGCAGTCCTCATTTAAGCCAAATGAAGCAACTTACAGAAAGCAGCATTACCTTGGCTGTAGTCAAGCCCAGAGTAGTAGCCGTTTCCTTGCACTTTCCTTACTCAGAGACAGGCACACCTTCTCACAGTCAGTATGAGCTGGTGCAGGACCCATGCTCACCCCAGAGGGCTGTATTATGTCCCAGTAAGGGCAATCCTTGGAAATTTGAGGCTGAGAGAACAGGGGTGCGTGATTCCTTATGGTCAGAAAAGGTTTCTAGGATTTTCAAGAACAGGGAGATGCATTTTGGACTTTTTTGTTTCTTTTTAGAGATGAGGAAGCTGAGGCATGGGGTAGCTTGAGAGAGCTGGTCAAGTCTCATGCAGTTGAGCTGGGAAATTAATGCTTGGGGGCAATGCGCTTTCCACCTCCTTTTTATATGGGGACTAACACAGCGTGGTTAAGGTGTGGTGTTGAAATTGTGCAAGCGTCTTCCTAAGCCCTTTTCATCTTGAAACCATTGAGGTTATTCAACCCATTGCTGTGGGCTCTTAGCGTTCTAGCCTTTCACATCTCCAATTGTCTCTCCTAGATGATCAGCTGAACTCAGAAGAGAAGAAGAAAAGAAAGCAGAGAAGGAACAGGACTACCTTCAACAGCAGCCAGCTCCAGGCATTAGAGAGGGTCTTTGAGAGGACACACTACCCCGATGCCTTTGTACGGGAAGACCTTGCACGCAGAGTCAACCTCACTGAAGCCAGAGTTCAGGTAATCACCACAGCTTGTATCCAGGCACACCTCACCGGGGTGGGGTGGGGGGGTCATCAGGCCATTCCAGGATGGCAGTAGAAATCCTCGAGGTCTGCGTGGCCCACTAGGGTCACCAAGCTTCTGGGTCATGCTGTATTACAGTCCCAGCTGTGCCATGCCTTGAGGAGGACTGCCAGGCTTGGTCACCATACTTACCAGCCAGATGTGTTCGTATGGTTCGTTCAAGGCCAAGATTTTGGATGTGCTGTGTTCAGGCTGCTCACATTATCTTGAGCTGCTCAGCTCTTAGCTTGCAAGCCTGCACCTTCTGAAGGTCAAAGCAGACCATGGAACATGATGTCTTGTACAGCACTCCCAGACCTTGCTGCCTACAGCACAGGGTAGACCTGGTTCCCCAAGGGACCTCACTGAGCCGGTTCCTCTCACAAGGGCTTTATCAGGGCAGACATAAGGGTTATCTTGTCAATAGAGTTTCCAGTGACAGGCATGCCAAAGCAGCCTGCAGGACTCTTGTCCTGGTTTCGGCTGGGATAGAGTTAATTTTCTTCCTAGTAGCAGGCATAGTGCTGTGTTTTGGATTTAGTAGGAGAAGAATGTTGATAACACACTGATGTTTTTAGTTGTTGCTAAGGACTGCTTATGCTAGTCAAGGACTTTCCAGTTTCCCATGCTCTGCCAGGTGCACAAGAAACTGGGAGGGGGCACAGCCAGAATAGTTGATCCAAACTGACCAAAGGGCTATTCCATACCGTATGACGTCATGCTCAGTATATAAACTGGGGGGGGTTGGCCGGGGAGCAGCGATTGCTGCTTGGGAACTGTCTGGGTATCGGTCGGCGGGTGGTGAGCAATTGTGTTGTGCATCACTTGCTTTGTATATTATTATTATTATCATTATTATATTGCTATTATTATCATTACTATTTTACTTTATTTCAATTATTAAACTGTTCTTATCTCAACCCAGGAGTGTTTCTCACTCTTACTCCTCCGATTCTCTCCCCCATCCCATCGGGGCAGGGGGAGTGAGCGAGTGGCTGCGTGGTGCTTAGTTGAGTGAGCGAGCGGCTGCGTGGTGCTGAGCTGCTGGCTGGGGCTAAACCACGACAACTCTGTAGTCCTGTCTTGCTCAGCAGGGCAGAGGTGGTGTGGTGAAAGGGTGAGTGTCGCAGTAGAGCTCTTTGTGATTGTTGGTGGGTCTGTGTGCTTCCTATCCCAGGTGTGGTTCCAGAACCGGAGAGCCAAGTTTCGCCGGAACGAGAGGGCCATGCTGGCCAGCAAGAATGCCTCTCTGCTCAAATCCTACTCAGGGGATGTGACCGCTGTGGAGCAGCCCATAGTACCTCGCCCAGCTCCAAGACCCACCGACTATCTCTCCTGGGGTACCGCCTCACCTTACAGGTGAGTGAATAACCCCTCTGGGGCAGATGAGTTTCTGGCAGAGTATAGAGCAGCCTGAGGGTGGCCCTCAGACAGCTCTAGTGGGCTGTTTATATTTGCATGGGACAACTGGAGGATACAGCAGTTTGACCACCCCACTGGTTTTCCTTACCTGTTCCCATCACACCCCATCTCACTGCCAGGCTTGCAAAGTGGGCTTGGTTCAGCATCATCGTGGCTCTGTGGCAGTTGGGTCCATGGGAGGTTGCAGCTTCTTTGGTGGTGTCTGTCTGCAATTCAGGAAGTTTTGAAAAAGGATCAGGTAGAAGAACATGGAAACAGAAGGGTTTGCACTTGCTTCCCTAGTGCATCCAGTTTAAAGCAAGGAGGAAACCTTTCTGTGAGACACAGAACCAGGGGAGATGATGGCAGAGCACTTGGGGGAGGCTCAGCCACCACACAGTGACCAGAAGAGGGAGTTCTGTGGCTGTCCCGTGGCACTCACTGGTTGGGATGCAAGGAAGGGCTGGGAACTCACTCCATGCATGTTGCTCCCAACCCTCCCCTCAATGGTCAGCACTGAGCTGGTGAGCAATTTCTTTCTAGTTGCTAGCGCACAAGCATGTGTGTGTACAAGCTGCACCCTTGTGCAGTGCTGTGGTTTGCCTGCAGTAAGGACCAGGTGTCTCTGGGTGGCAGACTGGTGTTTAATGGCCATCTCCTGTGGCCAGTGCTGCTTAAAGGGTGGCAGGAAAGAAGTGCAGATGTGGCAGCCCCAGCCTGCTCAAAGGATCTGAGATGTCCATGCATGTCACAGGCCTCCCTGTCCTACTCTGTGCCATCCACAGCCCAGCTGGAACTGGGTGTGGATGCAAGATCCACAGGATGTGTTGGTTTGTGGGGAGCCAGCTGGCTTGTAGGCAGTTAAAAATGAGGTTGGTGGGTATTTTTTAGCACAGTCGCTTCATTGTTGGTCAGGACCTTGGAGCCTTTGGCTGGATTTCTTCCTATTCATCTGGCTTGATCACAGCCAGCTTCCCACTGGCTTCCGGGAGTCACACCACACCCAGGACCTCTCATCCTTGGCCAGCTTGATCCCCTTCTTACACCCCAAACATTGTTTGCACGGTTACGTCTGCAAACACATGGCTTCCCTGATAGTTTGCTGCTTCAGTGCCATGGGGTCCTCCTCATCCACCCTGTAGCTGCAGAAGAACAAGTCATAGGTTCACCTGCTCCAGGTGCTGAGTAGGATGCTTTTGATGACCACCAGTTTGGTCTTAGAGATGGCCCTTATCCTTTGGATTTTATCTGAGGACTGGTGTCTGGCAAAATACCCGTTTGGGGTTTTTAGGCTTTCTCTCTGTGAAGCACTCTTTGGTGTTGCATCCTAGGGAGGAGTTCGGGTGGATGAGTTCAGGGGAGAGAAGCACAGGTCCTTCCCCACCCTGCTGAGACTGCTCTGGTCACAGTACCAGATGCCTGCTTGAATGCTCATGGCTTATTTTGTACTTCCCACACTTTTAAAAATAGATTGTCCCTCACAAGACGTTGTTTACACGAAGGACTTCGTAACAGCTTCTAGGAGAAGACCCTGCAAAGATAACTTCCAGGGGCACACTGAGAAGGGCTGTCTGGGGCTGGTCTGGACAATGAGAAGCCCAAGGCTTCTCGGATGTGCAAATGAGGAGAGCAAGGGAGAAGGGAAAGCCTTAGGGATGCTTTTATCCCCCTGACATCCAGACCTGGCTGTGCCTCTCCATGGTGCAAAGATGCATGCTCACTGTCTTGATGTGTTCTCCTTGACTTAAGCCAAGGCACTTCGGCAAAGATATTTGCAGCTTACAGCCATCCCTACTGGCTGTGATGGCGAAACCAGGATGGACTGTCACCCTCCCACTGCCCTGCAGAGGAGTAGGAGGCATTGGCAGAGGAGCAGAGCAGCTGGTTTCTGCAATGTGGGGTGGTCAGGACCCTCAGACACTTTATGCTCCCCAGGCTTTCTAATCCTGCTCTGCTCATTCATCTTAATGGGCACCCGGGCCAGGTTGTCACAGCCTCATTAAGGCTTTGAACTGAATAGGGTTTAAACTTTAATAGTGTTGGACACTTGGTGAAAAACAGCCATGCAGAGTGTTTGCATGGCCCTCTGCCCCCTCCCCATCTCCCCAGTGCTGCTGTACCAGCCCCTGATTAACGGCTGGTCCGGGAGAGGGCTGAGAGCAGGGCTGAGAGCTGCATTGGCTGGTGCTGTTTTTACTCTTAGATCTGGGGAAAGTTTTTAATCAGTGTGTTTATTCTCCAAATACATTCAGCCACAGGTCAACCAAAGCTATTTGCAGGTCTGTGTCACATAGATAGCCAAGTAGATACTATTATTTTTTTGAAGTTGAAGTGTTTTGCTTAGACATTTTTTAGCGTAGGTTCCTAAGAAAACAAGACTAGCAGTCGCGCTGTCAGCCTGCACTTCCCACTCCAATAACCTTTGACTCCGCGGGCCATTGAAAACCATATTTGAAAGAAGGATTTTAGGTCTCAGAAACACGATGTTCCTCTGTGTTTCATGAAAGCAGGCAGCTGAGTAGAGGAAGGAGACCCTTTGTGTCTGAATGGGGCAGAGGGAGGGGGCAGCAGGGTGACTTCAACCCTTATTAGACCCCAGAGAGTCTCTGGACCAACCCTTCAGGCCATACTGATCTTTGGAAACAGCCTTCTTGGGCACTGGTCCTTGAGGAATAGCTTGCGAAAAGAGAGCATGTCCGTAGATTTGTTGGTTTAGCAGAGATTTCACTGGGCAACAGTAATTTTCCCCACACCTCTGGGGAGCTGAGAGCAGGAGGCACCTCAGAGTTTTAGGCCAGACTCAGGCAGCAGTTATATATGGGTTTTGAATGGGGACAGTTTACACCCAAGACTGAAAATTCCTATATTTGTCTAAGCTAGAGCATCCTTGAGGCTCTTCTCATTTCTTCCAACACAAAACCATGGGGGAGATGCACCCTGTGGAAATGGGTGGGAATGGGTGCTTTAGTGGCCATCAGCTATAGACCCTGCAAAACTTTGCAAGGCCTCTGCAGGCAACACTCGGCTTCTCGCATTGCTGCTGACTTACAGGGGAGAGGGTAAAGCCACCAACCCAAAGTGAGCCACAGAGAGAGAGCTAGGGGGTACGCAGCCAGCTGGGGGAGGCTCCAGGCACGCCAGTCCATTGCATCCTGGACCCCGGTGAAATGCAGCTGATGCACCCCGTGTTGGGCAGTGTCGAACACCCCTGAGCAGCAAGGGTGCATGGGGAGCTCCGCAGCTCTTCCTCACCAGCTCCTCTGCTCGGGGCTGCTGTGGCTTTCTTATCTGAAAGGTATCGGGTTCTTCGGAAGGCATAAATTGAAAAAGAGTAAGTCTATATTTTTAAGGATATGCCTGAATTTTGATATATGTATTCTGATGTCCATCCTCCATATCCTTTCAGCGGCTGCTAGAGACTCTCAAAGTGTCCTGAATATGTGCTCCCACGGGGAAAGTTTTCAGTGCTTTTCCCTGGATGGGTGTAAGCAGCTGTATATCCATCAGTCTTACCTGCCATTTCTGTGGGTGTAAGCTGTTGTGTTTCCACCAGTGCTGATGCAGAGATGACAGTTCCTCCCTGAAGAAGTTCTTTTTTCTGTGATTTTAAAGTGAGAAATAGAAGTCATTTGGCCTGGGACGTGACCTACTAGTATTGCCTGGTCTGGATCTCCTGGAGGCTGAGGATTCAGACAGCGCTGAATTGCATTTAAACTCCTGGCAGGTCAGCTCTGCCTTGCAAAGTCAATAGATAGATACCACCAGCATTTTGGGACAAGCATGCACGCACATGGCCTGGATCTGTGCGTGCAGCAAACGCCCACCTCCCTCAAGGGAGATTTGCTGTTGCAAAGGCTCTTCCAGTTGTGGAGATCAGCGCTGGAAGGAAAAAAGAAAAGAAAAAAAAGAAAAGAAAAAAGGAAAAAAAGCAAGCTATCTTATTTCTTGGGCTGTGGGTGGAGGAGAGCGTTTCCCAGAGCCTTGGACATGTGCCATTGGGGCAGGCAGTTGGAAAGGGTCAGTCCCAGACCTGAGCTTGCCTCCAGGAGAGCATTTGCGGTTTCCTCCTGAACACGCTGGCTGCATTAAATGGGTGTGTCTAGTTCATGCCCTGTTTTTCAACTGTTTTTTATCTGTGGACCCACATATAGGAAATGCAACACGTCAGATAGTTTGCTGGGTTTTGGAGCAGGGGGGTTGCTTGTCACAGAAACCTGGAACACGTGGGTTAAACAAATTTTCTGGTGGTCTGGAAAGCAGATTTGCAAATTTTTTGTAGGATAAGAAAGGACTCCGAGATCTTTGTTCATCCTCTGCTGCCAAAAGTAATGTTTTTCATGAATAAAGACATGATTTGAAGGGAGAAAGAATGTTTTGGGTTTTGTCCCTTCAGCCTTTAAGGCATGCTCTATATGATCAGCTGAAGTTTTGAAGAGAAAACAGGGAAATTTTCATTCCAAAAGGCTGAAACCAAAAAACGTCACAGTTGTTGAAATGGGTTTTTCCCAGAGTGTTTCTTTAATGTAACATGTGTTTCAGAAGTGACGTGATTTCACAAGCAATAAAACCAGCATCATGCGCTCATCAAAAAGACATTGCTTCCAGTGGGAATACTTTTAAGGACAGTGGTCTAACTGGCAGACTGGGCACCCTGACCTCATTGTAAACCTTTTGGGTTAGGAAATAGGAAATGGAAATTTTCCTATTGACTTCAACCAACTTTGGCGTTGGCTATCCCTGGGTAAGTGAACTGCAGCGGAGAGATTTACAGGGGTGTTAAATAAAAAGTAGCGATAATTCCCTGCTCCCATAAGAAATAGATCCCACAGGTATGGAAACCCCCGGGTTTAACCTCACTACAGTGTGTGTCTGCTCTCTACGTGGTGTGAAGACCACGTCTGACGTGATGTTTCTCTCTTTCCATCCCACAGCGCCATGGCCACCTACTCCGCCACGTGTACCAACGCCAGCCCAGCACAGGGCATGAATATGGCCAACAGTATTGCCAACCTGAGACTGAAGGCAAAGGAATATAGTTTACAGAGGAATCAAGTGCCCACAGTCAATTAATGACGGGAGGCAGCTGCCTTGCAGAAGGAGAAAGTACAACAGTGCCCGTCCTGCTTTGCAACTTGTTTGTGCTGAAAGGAAAAAAAAACCCAAAAAACCAAAAAAAAAAACCAAAAAAAAAAAAAAGAAAGAAGAAAAAAAGCCAACCCTAACTCTTGCCTTTTCAGAGAGTTGCCAAGGAAAAAGCTGGAACCGGAACCTGTCGTGAGTGAACAAGGTTCCTCCTTCCTTTTGGGATAATGCCACCATTTTTTTTTTCTTGTTATTGTCAGGTTTATTGCTTCTGCTCAATATACTATGAGCTTCTTCAGTAAAGGACAGTCTCACCCTTGTTGGTTTCCATTTTCGTATGGGACTGCAAAAAGAAACCTGCCCATCTCAGCCCGTGGACATGTCCCACCTGCCATCATGCTGAGATGCAAAGCTTGCTCCTCTCCCCCCTGCCCCAGCTCACCCTAGAAGAAGTTGTTTGGTCACCGCTTTCCATTGTATTTGCCTGACCCTTCATCCCTCCAGTCCCTTGTGCCGCAGAGGGAGCGCCATTACCGTTAGTCTGCGAGAAGCCCATTAGTGCAACAACATGGGCTGGACCAGTCTGAGACGTGAGGAAGACCTCCCTGGGCTTCGCAGCGCTTCATTGCTTTCTTGAGTATTCCCGGCACTGCTGCCTTGAAAAGCCAAAGAAGAGAGAAAAGCCAACGTGGGTGTGTGAGCGGGGGGGGGGG